GAACACACTGGCAGGATTTTACACTCAGGACGATGCTTTGATGACAAAAAATAGTCTATTACTATAGCATAGTCTATTACTGTATAACTGATGGCATTATGAAGAACGTTGGCTACAAGCTCTTAAAAGCCTAAGGAAAGGAAAAACTGCATTCTGTACAGCTGTATGTGCTTTTTAGCTACTGAAGATTATTTGTGCGTAGGAGTTCTCAGATGAAGAATGCATTTCGATGGGCGCTGTACAGGCAAAGAACAAAAAGACCTCTCTTTACTTGGCCTTATGCTAAGTAACAAATAGCAGATGCGAATAACATGGATTATAATAAATGGATACTTTAAACAGAAAGTAGGATTTTATGATCTCCCATATAAGACCTTTTAACTTCTGAATATTCTGTAAATTGAAGATGCAAAACCAGAATTCACCCACTCACATAAATTAAACATAGCAATGGACAAGTTTGGATAGTCTAGAAATGACCACTAACACTTTGGTGCTAGCCATTGATCACAGATTTTTAATCTCTTGAAAATGAAAACTTTTATCACTGGAACTGCAGTTGCACACACCACAGTACTTCAATCCAGCTTAACCCAAAGAGTTTTTGTAGGAAGCTTTTCCTTTCAAAGTACCTAGGAGATCCCAGGAGCTGTGGCAATCTGTTAATGGCCATCACGGCTACGTGTACAGAAAGTGTGAGAGGTGCATGTGACCAGAACATGGAAGTGGTTTAAGAAACTAGAACGGAAAGTGTAAGCCTCTATCCTCACTGATCCCTATCAGGGTTACATTAAGTATTCAAGTATTTGCTACTTGCCTTGATTTATCATTTATCATGTTTGAGCAAGTTCTCCCACCAGAGCCTTCATAGGCAGCATTCAATCACTTCCCCTTCCCTTTTACAAAACACAGAAAGCCATCTGGAATATTTTTGCTGATCCCAGCTGGGACAACGCAGTACAGAGAACAAACAGCTTATGGCCTGTATGGTCAAATACCACACGCCATCAGTGAGGCTGCCACAAGTGAAGCAGTAGAGCCGTTCAGTGTCTGCCTGTTACCCCCTGAGCTTCTGTCTCCCCTTTGTTGCATCTCCATGTCAGCGCCAGATTCACTTTGCCCTTGTGCAGGGAGGCTGTCCGGGATCCCACCCACCCAAGATCCCACTCACCCCTCCAACTATGCTGCTGTCACACCACTGATCCTCTCAACTATGCCAAAGGTTTTCCTGTTCATCACACCTCACCTGGCAGAGCTATGGGCACAATTTAATGCTATGATGACATATGTACAGTTACGTGCTACCCACTGGGGAAGAAACATTAAGCCAAATGTGATGTAAAGCCAAATGCTATTGTGGGAGACCTGGCTGCATGATGAAATACATCACCAAATCAAACTTTGAAGCTCTTTCAACCTCTGGTTAACCCTGCAAGACTCTGCAAAATGGTCCTGTGGTCTGAATAGTTTGATCTCATTACCAGGTTTTCATTTTAATGTCAATACTTCTATGCTAGGAATGGTGAACTATATGGTAGAAAATAAAAACAAGGAATGCCTCCAGCATTAAAGCAACACTAAGCAAAGAAGGGCCAAACTTAGCTTATTTCCAAGACGAATTGTCTTAAAATACGCCATCATCTGTCAAAACGTGTTCCATTCACAGCTGTGTTATAGATCAGAATTATATATATAAAAAAAAGAAACACGTTTGTATAAGATAGTTATGGATTTTTAAATCCGCTAAATTTGAGTTAAAAGGTAAAAAAGCACAATGAGAACTGCGCTCCACGGGAGGGCCATCTACCACAGGCCCACGCAGCCAGAAGACGCTGTGCGGGACTCACGCTAAAGGGGCGGGCTGCCCCACATCAGCGCTGCCCTCGGAGCTCGGACCCGTCCTCAGATCACTTCCGCCTGAAGCGCTACAGCATTTCTCTAACAGCAGAAGCAAATCACCGGCCGCTAAAATTTGGTTTTCTTTTCTTTTCTTCCCCAAACTTCCGAACTCCTCACAGTTTTACTGATGCGTTGCAGCGGCCCCCCGGAGCTGCCGGGCCGAGCTGCGTGCCGGCCGGGACCACAGCCGAGCAGCCGGGAGGGAGCAGAGCAGGGCGGCAGAGGGAATATCCGGCCCCTGTCCGCTCGGGACAAACAGCCACAACCAAAGGGGAAGAGCACGTTCCCTCGCGTTGGGTGACAACGTTCAGCCTAGAGGAGCTCAGCGATAAAAGCCGAGCAACCTCCCCTGCTCGTCAGCATTCCGGAGGGACACATCCCGCCTCCTCACTCGACGCTGCCCACCGCCGGCTCCTTCCCCAGCTGTAGCTCCGTCCTTCCCCGGCCCCTCGCAGCCGTCCGGCAGCGGCACGGCCACCCGCGCTCCCTTCACGATCCCCACCGCACCTTTTGCTCAGAGGCCGGACCCGCACGGCCACCTTGACGTTTGCCATGGCTCTCCTTACACCTTGCAGCTCCGCGCCCGCATCGCGCCCCCAGCACGACCACCCAGCGCCCGTGGTAGAGCCGCCCCGTCCCGTGCAGCTTCGCCTCGCCCCGGGGCGGGGACACAGCGGGGCCCGCCCCGGCACTCCTCGCTTCGGCGGCAGGGAAAACTGCGGAGGGAGTCGGGGAAAACCCTGCCCTAAACAGCTGTGAGGGCCGGGCTGGAAGTTTTTGCAGTCCTTCCAGCAGCGAAACTGGGCATTTTTGGTGCTTATTTAAAATCCAACCGGCGGTTGCTGCGCCTACCGTAGGTCTGGCCGGATAAGGAGACAGGAGCCGCAGCTCGCGCGTTGTTCCGCTACACGTGCACCGCTGCAGCGGGGGCTCGCGGCTCAGGCGCGAGCGCCGACACGCGGCCGCTGCGGCACGAGGCCCGAACGGCTGCGATGCTGTGAGGGCGGCGGTGCTGTGAGGGCGCAGCGCGGGGCGTGCTGGGGAGCACCGAGCTGTAGCGGGCTTTATTTTCAAGAATAAAACACTCTTGGTCTACTCCTTTATACTTTTGATACATTTATTTTCCAAGTAAGGTGCGGGCAATCCAGAACTCCAGTGTGCTTCCAGCACGAAGCATCCCACATTTGATTAACGTGACAGGAATTTAAGGGAGGTAGTAAGGAATTGATTAACACTGAAGGAACGCTAAGCTTTTGAGCACTTGCAGTTGCTTTAGAAACTCAAACCTTTATGCATTTATTGTAATAAATCTGGATTTATATTATTACACTATTATTTTATTATCTAGATTCATCATAGTGCATTAAAATACCCCATGACCTGCAATTGAAGGCAATCTCAATCTATCAAACTGACAATAGTTTTATGTCTAGAGTAATGTAAAAGCCATCAAAACTTGAAAAAAATGATTTTAGAATATTGTCCTTGTCCTTGTTACCAATGTGACTATGGGGATGTGAGAGCATCAGGCACACCCACAGGAGAGACACAGGCTGCCCTGAGATATTCTGACAGGCAAAAAGAAACAATCTTCCCCCCAACCCACACCCATAACAAAATAATCCAAACCCAATGCGGTCATTCACTTTTATTCACTGCATTTCAGAATATTGAAGATTGTGCTGTATCTGAATAGGCAACTACAGTACCTTTACACCAGATAATCCTTGCCATGTAGACCGTTTAAACAACCCTACATTTTGTACTTTAAGTATAGCTCTCCTCACGAGATCGTGTTTCTTAAACTGCAGAAATACTGAATCTAAATGAAAGGTGCCACAACACAGAAACCTTCCAGACTGAGGTTCTTCAGACTCAACACTCTTCCCAACTCATGACCCTTCACAGATCCATACAAGCTGTGAACTGCTGTACATTTCAATAGGTTTAATGACCTCATATGTCCATAGCTAATGGCATCAGCTAAATTCCACCATCTCCACAGTCAACTCTCCAATAATGGGTAGAGCAGAACAAGGAAGTATGTTCAACTTTTTGGATATGGGAAAATGTACATATTTATCTTTATTCAAAGGAATTATGATGAACAAAGTAACTGGAACTGTTCTCATCCTATTTCTCAAAGTCTTAAGTTACAGTAGCTTTAATTTACCTGATGTAAACTATTACTGTAAGGCAACTTAAGACAGGTTAAATCTGGGATAAAGGCATTGGATTAAAAGTCTGGATTGTTTAGTTTCTGTTACTTCCCATCTCAGAAAAACAGAAGATACAGCTCTTCCGCAACTGTGTGGAAGACCTTTTCTGAATCAGAAAGAACAGTCGTGGGAGTTTGTGCTCGGATTGCACAATGTCACATACCAAGTGTTCACATGAAGACTTCATCTAAGGCTTACAGGACTCAAACTCCAGCTTTGTTCTCAGATCTTATCTCTTGACATTCTGCTCCACTTAATCCAAGCCTTGTCCACTTAATCCAAGTTTGTCTTTTTAACTTCACTCAGCAGCAACAAAAAGGAAAGCTAAAGGAAATTCAGCTACACTTGTATATGACATTAGAGAATTTTTAAGCTATACTTTGACATCATACTCTGTAGAATGATGTGGCTACCTGAAAATTTCAAGTATTTAATACTGGGTAGACCAATTACAAGTAAATCTTATTAGAGTGTGTTCAACAAAGAGCCAAGTATTTCTTCCTTAACACTACTTTTTTGATGCAGCACTCAGATAAACTTGAGTGAAATTTGTGTGGTAATGAGCCACTTGGTGGCTATTTTGAGAAATTACAAGGCTTCCTTTTTAGAAACTGAAATCAACAAGTTGTGCGTACAGAGAATTCAGATAACAGAGGCTACAGCAATAGAAATAAATACATCTGCAGCACTTCTCCAGTTTGATCCATGTCTTCAGGACGAAACTGCACATCCCCAAAGGCAACCAAGCTTCTTGATTTATAGATGTCCTGCCAGTGATGTTTTACCAACACATCTTTCAACACATAAAAGTTATTAAGGCTGTGAACTGTAACCATCAACCTCTTGCAAGAAAGAAACAAACAAAAAAACCCCAGACATTAATACTTGTGTAAAATGAGTTGTATTTTAAGAAGGTCACTGAAGACAGGGCAAGCAATAGAAGACTGAATAATACAGCTATCACTACGATAGAAATCTGGGTTATCAGAAAATTAGAAGAACTGCTACACATCACCAAGTCCATTCCTTGCTTTTGCAGTCAACAACATCATAACTCTAATAAGCTGTAACTTAACACTAGTAAAATTTCTTGGTTTGAATCCTTAAGTGCCAGTTTATGCTTCAATCAATGAGTGTACAGAAGTTAGGCTAAGCAGAATTACTGTGATAGAAAAATATTGAATGGAAAAAAATGCTCACTGATGTTGTAGGTTTGCAATAAACTCCACAAGGAGCGATCTCCAGATCCTTCCTCAGTGGCAGTCAGCATTTAAATGGGATCTAGGAGCTACCTGCTGGTAGCACAGGTGAATTGCCTTTACCTGTGCTCCCGTGGCTGACTCACTGCTTGCCTCAGGTGGTCAATCAGAGGCTCAGGCTGTGACCAACAGTTCCCCTACAGTTTCCATAGCATTCTGTATCATTGTTTTAAATGCAAAATTCCATAGCAAAATAAAGACTTAAATCTTAAAATCTAGTACTTTTATTGAAGTGTTATAATGGCATACAAAATACAGTGTATTATCAACATACCTCTAAAAATGAATAGAGGTTCTAAAGCCAACAAATTTGCACTGAAGATAAAGGCTCAGAGTCTGTCAACTATTTCAAAGAGGAACTCTCTAACAGTCCCCTCAGCAGTTGACTATTTACAAGCTACCGCTCAGCCATTTATCATCTGTTTTTGTTTTCAATTAGTTGGAAAACACTGAACTACAATGTCAAACATAAATACAACTATCTACAAAATCCCTGTTAACTTAAGGCACAACTGTGTTGCAGTTTCCACAGGAGACTTGCATGGCAGTTCTTCAAGCAATTATCTCACATGAAGAACAACATCATTTGTTAGGTAGATAAGCCCAAGTCCAATTCAGCAGTATTGCAAATGCTGTCAGAATACACTTCTTTTTGCACTTCTCTCCACTGCAATATTTGCTCAGTCAGCTCTTCCAAATCTGTCACCAGCACTTCTGTTTTTGTCAAAGCAATGTCCTGAAGCAGAAGAGGATGGGATTTAATCTCCACACATCCTATCAATCTAGCAGGAAACAAAAAGATGCTAGGCAACAAAACAGCACTGAATTCTTAATGCTGGAGGAGATGAAAGGCTCAATTATTATTATTTTTTTGCCACTCACCAGATTCTTCATGAAAGTTGGTACCTGAGGGATCGTTTTTACAGTCTGCAAATGGTTTTCCAACTTCTCAATGAAAGTCACAGCCTCAGTCAACAACTCCACTACATACCTGCAGCCAAGAATGAATTCTGAAGTTGTGCAAAACAATGCAGGATTTAATACTTGCAAAGTCTTAACTCTTTTCCCTGCAGGTTTTCTTAGTCCTCCAGTTTTATTTGAGTTCCTAGTCATCTAATTAACTTCTGTGCAATTACAATTCTTCTGCAACTCTCAGCAACATGTAGGGCAGGAATTACAGAAACAAGTATGCACTTCACTAACAGGACTAGATTTTTAGAGAAGGACTAGTTTTAAAACATGTACTATGTAAATCTGAGAATCATCCACACATTTCTGCACAAGTCATAACGGAAAAACACCAAAGCTGAAATAGTATTCTTACCTATGCAGAAGCATAATGAAGCGAGCATTTTACACACTCATTTGAAAATACATATTTTTCATTGTGTAATATTCAGAAGACAAATCAACTAAGCAAACTGTCACAAAAAATAATTATCCCTACTGTTCCATGAATTTAGCAGTTAATAGAATTTTAGCTTTTAGCTTTGGTCCTGCTATCATTTCACCTCTTATTGATGTGAATTAAAGTATATGATGTTTACTGCCTATGAGTTGCAATTAATTTTGACTCAATCAAACAAACAAGTATTATTTTTCATATGCCTACTTGTGGAAATCAGCCTTAATAGGCAGCGTCTCTTGACATATGGGCTTAATCAGCCTCTGCCTAAGTCTTCTCTTCTCTTTCAGTACTGCTTCCAAGTGTCTGTTCACATCTTGCAATATCTGGTATTTTTTACCTATAAGATAAAATTGCAAAGTTGAAACTGCTGTCCTGCTAGAATAAGAGCAAAATTTCTTCAGCAGAAAGGCAGAAAAAAAATTCTGATCTATTATTCAAGACAATTTACAGTCAATAAACATATAATTACTCCAAGCTACTTGTGCTGGATTGTACAGAACTTAACATCAAAACTCACCTTGAAGAAAGTCATACATACTTTTTAGAGACACAGCTTTATGACTGCTTTGCATTTTATGTAACTCTTAGTAAACCCACTTCTTAACCTATACCATAGGATAACAATTTTACAATGTACTTCACTATCAAAACACATTATTAGCAAACTAGAATCTTTTTAAGCATCCATCAAGACAAAATGGAAAAAGCAAGAAAAATAAAATAAATTAATCCTTATGCTCCCAAGAAAAACTAAAGAAAAACAAGCAAAAAGCCCTAAATAAATAAGCAAACAAACAAACAAGGTAATTCTAGGGGCCTACAGATGGAGCAGAAATGCGTGCATCAGTTTACTGGAAAATCAGCAAAGCAGCACACAGCTTAAGGGAAGGAAAACAAATTACTGATGATTTCGGAACTCCCAATGCTCCACTGAATTTGGGAAGCTGAAGACACACAGACACACGATTACAAATATATACACCCACACACACCCCTTCTACTTCAAATCATTTTGATGAGATTCAAATATTATGCAAGCATTCTTCTGGAGGAAGTTAACAAAACACCTGTCACCTTTAACAAACTATGCAGTGAAAACAGCTGCAGTCTCTTCTAGAAGCATGATGAGCACTATGTAATCAGATGAAACAGTCTGCTGATACGCACCTTTAAGACTCTTGGTGTTTTTACAATACAACCACACTTACTTAAATAAAAAGGATGAACTATGTCTGCTGTCTCCAGCTCCAATTGCAGAAGTTCAGTTTCCAGTTTCTTCTGCAACAACAAAAATAAAATAAAAATGCACCTTAAACACATTTTTTGTCTCTCTTTAGGTGGGAAGAAGAAAAGGAGGGAGGATTAAGAAGGGAGATGGTGCAAGTGTGAGAAAAAGCTTGATCACATGCATGACAGCATGCTATCAAGCTCTCTCAAGTTTTAGATTCTATTTTTGATTAATAGGAAGACAGTTTAAAGAGAACAAACCAAACACCACCAGCACACAAAGACAAGAAAATCACTATTTGGTGATGTATTGGGAACTTCTGCTTCAAAAGACAGATTCTGCAACTCATTCCTAAAACATAGATGTTTACAAGTCCTACAAAGCAATTTCATAATCCAGATCCTGCTCAAGAACCTCATAGCCCAAGCTTTCTCCCTTTGGAGAAGACAGTTCTGTGGTCTTGATTGTCTTAAGCTGAGAGAGAACCTCTCAGGAGAATCTTAGCTTTAATTATTTTTAACAATAACTGAGCACAAAAGCAACAGGTATCTTCCTGTGGCAGAAAATTCAGGTCATTTTGGCTAGACAGGAAAAGACTGAAGAAAGTACAGAACAGAACAATAAAGTCTTTCAGGACACAGAACTGTTCCTTTGCAAGCAAGGAGAAAAATTACTGTTTCACTCACAGCACATTGAACATTTGTCAGAGACGGCACTTTGTAAGCATAACCTTTCAGCAAGCGGCTACACAGCCACTCTACCAGGAGCTGAAAGTGTCCTTTCTTTCTGCCAGTCATATGGGGTAATGCCAGTTAATTCATTCTCCAAAAAGTTAAAAGCCGAGTTTGTCACACTTTTGCAGTAACTGCTGGAGTTTACATGACACAATTCAACAGACACAGTCTGCATACTAGCAAGCAAATGCTCAGAAAACATCACCATAAAATATAAATCAACAGACAACTCAGGCAGTAGGAAGTGACTAAGGTTACCTTTTGCTAACCAAGAAAATGGTCCAGTTGCCTATAAAGAAACACATTTTTGGGGAATGTAAGCGACCTACAGACTCTTACTTGTTCTTCAGTTCCTACAGAAAGGTAACACTTCAAAGACACAAACTGCTACATCTTTCCAGTTACACTGAGAACTTATTTAATCATTTCACTCTTTGTTTTATGTCAGGTAAGCCTCCAGAACACACATACATTTGACAATGGCACACTGCAGTCTGATGCCTCATTAGTGACATGTATTATTTGTACAGATGAGGTGTTAAGTGCGCGTTGACAGAAGTGGAGGCCGTATGTACCTCATTGATTTCTGCTCGAATCTTCGCCATTTTTTCCCTCTCTGAAAACCTCACAAAGCATTCAAATTCTTCACAGGCTAAATCCAATGTCTCCTGTGAAAGGAATGCAACATGAAATGGCACAGTCAGCGGCACAAAGGCAAATTCTCAATATTGACTTTTAATAGTCTAAACTTACTGTTAGCCTATCACCCTGAGAGACAGAGTTAATTTCTTTCAAACAACTAATAAAACACAAGCGTTACTTTGGGAACATCAGCACAAGCTAAAAAAAAAAAAAAAACCCAAATCATAAAGGACTGCTCTGCGGTCACTCCCTAAGGTATTGGTTTGCTCGCTTTGAACGCCTCCGGGAACGGGGCATCACGGCTCTGCGGGCAGCTGGGCCAGCGCCTCAAAGCCCCCTCAGCGGAAGATCCTCCCTTTTAGCTGCAGAGTCGCTGGCGGGAGCTCCGCGCGGCCCCGCGCCGTACCTGGCTCACAGAGCCCTCCGCCACGCACTCCTCCAGCACGGTCGCGATCTCCGTGGGCTCGTCCGACCCCCAGGGGCCGGAGCAGGGGCCGGAGTCGCTGCCGACCGGTTCGACGCTCTGCCAGAGGCTCCGCCTCAGCCCGCCGCAGACCCGCCGTGCCTCTCGGCGGGGCCTGGGGCTGGCGGGCGCCTTTGCTGCGGAAACCAAACGGCGGCCCTCCGCCATCCTGGGCGACCCGGAAGGGGGGCGGCGGGCCGCCGCCACGGCGGGTGTGACGGAGGGCTGACAAGGTTCCGCTTCCGGAGGAGCCGGTGAGGGTTCCTGGCGCTCCAGGTTTCGAAGGGAGGGGGAAGCGCGGCGTGAGGCGGCTTAGAAGTGAGCGACCCCCGCGGGTGCGGCGGCCGCCTGACTGCGTCGGGATCGGTACGGAGCTGCGTCGGGGCTCCCCGCGTCGCTTTTGGCTCCTGGCGGAGCTGCGGCCTGCGGCTCGGAGCGGGCTGTGAGCTGCGGGAAGTGGGTGTCAGAACAATTTTGCTTTGTGATGCAGAATTTGGGTCGTGCTCCTCCATCGCAGAATAAGAGAATCTGTCTGAAAGCACCGCTCGGACTCCGTACGCTCGAAGAAGAAGCGTTAGGATGGGAAACAGTGCACTGAAAGCCCACCTGGAAACAGCACAGAAGACCGGAGTGTTCCAGCTGACGGGAAAGGGACTCACAGAGGTAACGTACCTATAAGGACATGTGGCCGTTTGTCGGTGGGACTGACACTGCTGAAGAGCAGTTCCCACTTAGGTGTGGTCATAATGCACCACATAGTGTATTTCTTATAAATAGGGATGGATAATGTTATCAGAAGAATGGTTTTTTCTTCTTGGCAGAGTGGATTTTTGCTTGCACCATCTTCTGGTTGAAGATTTGCCTGTCAGGACATTTGCAGGCTACTGATCTTATGCTTAAAAGTGAACGTACCCCAAAGAAGTAGTGGATACAGCATTGTGCTGTTAAAAAAAATAAATAAGAGAAAGGCTTGGAACTTCAGGAAAAAATGTAATTTTACAACGGTATTGCTATCTAGAAAGATCCTCCACAATTTTTCATGCTTAGATATTTGTGCTGCATTTAACTGTAGCCTGTACAGGATGTTCACATTGCTGCAAGCATCTTGGATTTCAGTATGCAGAAATCATCTTGACTTTGACTTAATGGCAGAAAAACAAAGAATATCTTTGGACTATAAATCTGCCAAAAATTCACAGGATAGCCAAAATTCAAAGCTGAAAATATATGCAGTAAAGAAATTTGTCAACTGCTTTCTACACAATGATGTCTGGATATTGTGATACATATTACAGTATGTAATAGCAATATATGTTTTTCACTTAAAGTTTTAAAGCTTATCACTTGAACATTTGAAGCTGTATCAACTGTTTAGACAGTGTATCTTTTTTCTTCACCCTAGTTTCCTGAAGACCTGCAGAAGCTAACAAGCAACTTAAGGACAATAGATTTGTCGAACAACAAAATAGAGCTCTTGCCACCACTCATTGGAAAATTTTCCCTTTTGAAGAGCCTTGTTCTAAACAACAACAAACTGAGTATGCCTGCTAATTAATATCTCCACAGATTTTTAAAGTAGTACCTGACTTCTCTGATCAGAAACTAAATGTAACGGTTTAACTCACAGGATATAAATGGGAAGCTTAGTCATGTAAACTGAAATCTTTGGAATTCATGTACAGGAAAAAATCAAACCATAAATTCTGCAATACTAGTTGCCAACTTAGTTGTATTATCAGTTTTACAATAACATGTAAGTTCAAAAACTGTATAGTTTCTGTGCTGTGACTTGTCTGATCTGAAAGTTTAACAGTGTCAGGTGGTTTAGTATTTGCTTAGAAAACAGGCGCTGCAGATTACCTGTAGAGAATGTTGTGGGCCACTGATTGCTGCTTCTTTTGGACAAACATGAGTGGAAGGTCAATAAAATTCAGGTTATGTTTATGTTGTGAGAGTTGCAGTTTTCTGGATGATAAACAAAATTTTTGCCCCTTTATGGAAAAATCAGGCTGAAGTGAAGAAGCCTTTTTTTTTTTTCTATTTTTTGCGTGTTCATTGTGTATTGACTGCCTTTTTTGAAAAACAAATGTAATTTACAAACCTCTTTGTTTCTGTAGTGCAACTCAGGAGTGTTACAGGTTAGACACATGTAGATAGAGTGAGGATGAACTGTAGCAGTGCTTACCTGTTGAGGCTTCTCTGCTGGTCTGATACAGTACAGCTTATTTGAGAATTTAGTACTGAGTGAGTGGAGCGATACCTTTAAATGGCTGCAGCAGACCTGAGGCTATGAACTGTGTGGTAGATGAAATGCCATAGAATACGTTAGCTAATTGGCTGGTAGAGAGTATAATTTATAGCATTCAATCCTCAAAGCAGCATTTTCAGCTTATGGGTTGAAGGTCTGTCTTGTCTGAAGATTATTTTTAAGACATTTTTAGAAGATGTGTAGAAAGCACATCTTGTTAGTGAGTTTAAGTTTCTATGCAGGGATCGGTGCTTTCATTGGAAAACATGGAAGAATCCTGTGGGAAATTACTGTAATAAACCACTGTTCTTCATGCAGAAATTTGACATAAATGGTTACAGAAGTTTACTGTTCATTTTTTAGGTCATCTCTTTGTTGTGTGATTTATTTCTAGCTGCTCTACCTGAGGAGCTGTGTAGACTGAAAAAACTGGAAACACTGCATTTGAATGGCAATCACTTGAGGCAGCTACCAGCTGCATTTGGACAACTTTCAGCTCTCAAAACTTTGAATCTTTCTGGGAACCAGCTTCGGACTGTGCCTACACAACTTTGTGGTCTTCGCCACTTGGACGTGGTGGATCTTTCCAAAAACCAGATCCAGAATGTACCTGACAGTGTGGGAGAACTGCAGGCCATTGAACTCAATTTGAATCAGAATCAGGTCTGGTAACAGATGTTATAGGCATGTGGATGTGGGACTCAGTTGTTTACATTAGACATAGTTTGTCCATAGACCATAGGCTGACACAATCAAAACTTTAGAGCTAGAAGATGCATCTCTTCTACACAGAAGAAGTGAGGCATCATAACTACAATTTGTGTACTAATACATTCAACTGACTGATTTTAACAGCTAACATATCCTGAATTTAATTATATAGAAAATATTTGGACAGATACTGAGTAGGAATCTGCCTACTATTATAGAAGAATATAAGTTTCATTATAGAAGAATATAAGTTTCTTGGCTTTCTTTAAACATTATTATGGCTTATGTACTGCTAATTAGTCATTGTTAATGTAATCTATATTTGCAAAATGATATTTGTTCCATATCAGTCTGAAGCACAGACCACTTGAAGTAATCATGGATAGCTAACATTCTAATCCCATTTTTTAAAATTCCTACCAGATTTCCCAGATCTCAGTGCAGATCTCACACTGTCCACGTCTCAAAGTCTTGCGTTTAGAAGAAAATTGTCTAGAACTTAGCATGCTTCCTCAGAGTATCCTCAGTGATTCCCAGATCTCACTGCTTGCAGTTGAAGGCAACCTCTTTGAAATCAAGAAACTCAGAGAACTGGAGGGTTATGACAAGGTTTGTATATAGACATACTTTTTTTTTTTTAAGAAGCTTCTGGTGAATTCTTTAGATATGACTGCAGAACAACTGGAAGCATCATTAACTTTAATATCAGTTCACCCTTAAAACCCTTCAGTTAGACTTCAGCATTTGTAAGGTTTCTTAGTCTAGAGTATCAATCCATTACAACAGATGATAAAAAAAAGGTTAGATTTATTTAAGTGTTGTTTAAATGTCTTTTTTGTTTTTCCTTTGTAGTACATGGAACGGTTTACAGCTACAAAGAAGAAGTTTGCGTGATTTTGTTCTGGTTGTGTGTATCCCTGGTAAGAAGTTAGTGACTGAGCCACCCACTTCACTGACATAAACCAAGACTGATAAAGGAGATTAGAGTATCCTCTCTATTAGTTGCATACAGTTGGTAAGACCACATTGAATAAACAGGAACTAGAGAGCACAGGTACTGTTCTGATGAACCTGCCTAGGGGCCAGTTTTCTTTTTGAGCCGCTATAACTTTTTAAACACAGTACACATTCTCTGTTGTCAGGGCTCGTTCTTCCATAGAGAAGGGGAAAGAGTATTCCAAATCTGCCAGTTTCCCTTTGTCAGGAAGCTACTGATGGATTTCTAAGAGAATTATTTCTCCTAGAATCACTTTCCATGATAGTACATGGAAGTTTTGCTTTCAAAGCAGATTCAAAACATTGTATATTTTGCAGTAAGCGCTTCTGCAGTAAACTCTTCTACAGAGAACTTCCACAGATGTTTTAGTTCTTAACTTATACAAATTTTTCTATGAAGCACAGATAGTTATAGCTAATTTTTATTAACTGGCTCTAGTAAACAAATGACTTGAACATTCTTCATTCATACTTCTCTGTATAGACTTTCTTTTCCCATAAGCAAGAATTGCACTACAGTCCTCTGCTGCTTGAGCTATGTCAAATAAAAATGAAGTTCACCTTCAGTGTATTCAGTAAAAATGTATACTGCTGGAAAATATCCTTGCACTGACTCTTAGTGAAAGTCTTAGTTGTCTCCCTACTGCTGCTGCCTTACTACCAAAAGCACCTAGACAGAATTGAAGATGTATGCAATTATTTAACTTATTCTAAAGAAGGAAGTGTACTTGTTTATTTTAGTAAAATGTTTTCAAAAACTCATTTCAAGCTTTATTTGGTGTACCTGCTGCTGTTGTCACTTTTACCAGTAGTATTTAGCTGTCCTACAAACCACCACTTCAGATACACTGTTTCATCAGTTGCTGTTAACAGTTGTACTTCAACCCTTTGAAAAAGCAGAGAAGTCAAGTAAGTCAACACTTCGGTAGCAATTAAGTTAACATGCACAAAATAGCAAAGTAGGAACTGTACTAGGTGCATTTCTTAGCAAACGAAGATGGATGCACCTCTTTCTAATCAGATGGTCTTCCAGTCTCACTGCATATAGTAATTATTGTTTTATGCATAACCTTTCATACTTGTGGTAAGAAAGGCATTTAGACATTCAACTCCTTGAAGGTGCAGGTGTGAAAATTATATGTAGTCAATGTGTTATGCCATCTGCAACTAAGGAAAATGAAGTGACCTCTGTGCCAGTGTTTTTCCTCAATATACTAATCTTAATTGT